TGATTTGGTTGGTTGGTTTGTTGTTTAACGCCGCACTCAGCAATATTCCAGCTATATGACGGCGGTCTGTAAATAATCGAGTCTGGACCAGACAATCCAGTGATTGATATCATGTGCATCGATCCACGCAATTAGGATCGATGACATGCATCAACCAAGTCAGCGAGCCTGACCACCCGATCCCGTTAGTCGCCTTTTACGACAAGCATAGTCACCTTTTACGGCAAGCCTGGGTTGCTGAAGACCTATTCTACCCCGGAATCTTCACGGGGAATACCTAAGATGAAACACTGCGAGTGAGTGAGTCCTTGGGTGGGTTGGTGTACGGGTGGGTGTGATTGTGACGGATAGGTGAGTGAGTGAGTGAGTGAGTGAGTCCTTGGGTGGATGGGTGTACGGGTGGGTGTGATTGTTGTGGATAGGTGAGTGAATGAGTGAGTGAGTGAGTGAGTGAGTGAGTGAGTGAGTGAGTCCTTGGGTGGATGGGTGTACGGGTGGGTGTGATTGTGGTGGATGGATGAGTAAATCAATAAATGAATTGACGAGTGAGTGAGTCCTTGTGTGGGTTGGTGTACGGGTGGGTGTGATTGTGGTGGATAGGTGAGTGAATGAGTGAGTGAGTGAGTGAGTGAGTGAGTGAGTGAGTGAGTCCTTGGGTGGATGGGTGTACGGGTGGGTGTGATTGTGGTGGATAGGTGAGTAAATCAATAAATGAACTGACTTGCGAGTGAGTGAGTGCGTGAGTGAGTGAATGAGACCGTGGGTGGGTTGGGGTACGGGTGGGTGTAATTGTGGTGGATAGCCCGGGTGAGGAAATCAATGAATGAACTGACGAGTGAGTGATCATGAGTGAATGAATACTTGAATAAGAATTCATACGATGCATGAAAGGCAAACATACTAAAACCGCAAATGTAGATTGACCAACGATACAAGGTCAAGGGCGACGTGGCATATGGCCAGCATGTTTCAAGCATCCAAACCAACGCTGAAATCACGTGCGTACCATGCTGACATAGCAAGGTCGCCTGAACATCTTGTCTGTGTGGAACAGAATGAATAGATGACTCGCTACAGGGCATTAAATCGCAAGGCCCCTTGACCACGAGACAAGAATAATTGTAAGAGCTTGATATATCGATGTATTTGTGAACATAGTGAGCTGAGCGACCACTCATACCAACCTGTTTATAATAAATTATCCTTGTTGGAATGCTTGAAACGGACACATGCATGCACAAGGACGAGCAAAGATTCACTGTCAGGACATTGGGTTTAGCAGACCAGAACACATGAAAACACTGTATTTTAAACACTGCTCGTGGCCTACTGCAATACATGTGTCTAGGTATGTGTTATTGTATAGATATATCATTTTCGTAAATATTCAGTAATTAATAGGTCATCATGAGGTGAAATCGCGATCAAACCTATTACACTTGTATGTATGTATGTATGTATGTATGTATGTATTTATGTATGTATGTATGTATGTATGTATGTATGTATGTATGTATGTATGTATGTATGTATGTATGTATGTATGTATGTATGTATGTATGTGTACATGTATGTCACGATTAATACAATTCCGTACGAAGCTAACGTATCATAATACTATACGTGCCCCTTACATATATTATACGTATTTGCATACATGTGCTTGCGTAGTGCAGACAATATTGCTTCATTAAGCTTTAATGACATCACAGTTGATGATGACGTCACGCTGTACCATTCGTGACGTCATTTGAATACTGTTCTCTGTAGCCATAATTCATATAATTCCTTTTTCTCTACAACTACCTGGTAATATACGCATAATAACAATTCAAGTGTAATAAACTGAGTGGCACAAGAAAGTGTACCGAGTTCTATTGTCTCTTAAACCATCACTCATTCCGGCAATAATGTGTAAAAAGTATTCTGTGGCCATGTGATGTTGTGTAAAAATATGTTTGTTCAAAGAAAACTGGGGTAGGAAATTATTTTGCAACCACATGATCAATACCATGTTTGGAATGTAAATTTGTGCCGAAAAAAGCAAATTTATTAAGATACCCATCAACAAATGTATATTAGCAAAATTTGATTTTTTAATTTTTAAAGGTTTTACATCAAATTATATTTTTTTAAATATCATCATTTAGAAGTATTCTTTGAGTGCTGACTCAGCGCCAATACATTTATTTGTTTGAATATAACATTGTTAACCTAAGATATTTACAAAATTGAAAATCAAGCATACGATAAAAGCAATTGAGAGATGTGGTTTCTTTTACCCCTATAACAAAAGCTGTGTCTTAAAACAAGTATTCTCGCACTCTCGCAGGGGAGTTACAAACCTTCTGACATTCGTTCAGCATGACAATGTCACTCTTGCAATAAACCCTTCGTATCAGCTGCAGATAGTTAGATGCATTGCATAGTAACGACAGTTAAGGTGAACATCAATATATCTGTTACAGTAGTTTGAAAAGAACATAAAGCTTACCCTACCACACACAGAGAATTAAATCTAGTTTCTATCCAAACGGTAGGACATATGATGGAATGCTGTCTCGTAATGCCTACCGTGGGCAGTGCAGAAGTCCCAGTGGGAGGTTTTGTGATCTTACTTTAAATCCTTTTATATCAAAGTGCCTATTAAGCGTCCATGTCAAATGTTCATTCTAACTGAAGTAATCCATACAAGCATCCAGATCGACTTGGGAAAGTTGCTGATAATTGCCTCGCACACGTCACGGTGGAAACCATTGAAACCTCTTTGAGGGCATTTACAGTAAAATTGAACCCCAAACTGATCATTATTTTATAAGAGATTTTAAAACTGACAATTTTCTAGGCGGACTTTATTGATGAATATTGTCAAGGTTCTTATGTAGTTTACATGTGTATTATTCAAAGAGATATCTTGGTTTGGTAAGGCACATAAACACATGTATGGTATTGCACATTGCTTATTTGAAAAAAAATAAAGACGATCGATGACTTCAAATCCTTCTCACATACTTCAAGTCAAGATCACATTACCAGGATTCTAATTCATTGAACCATTTAGAGCATTGAATTGCATGCAAACGAAGGCAGGTAATACATTGAAGTCATTGAATCTCACTCGTTACGAACAAATCCTTGTTTATTTGAAGAGAATGACATTGTAAGGGTTCGAATAAAAGTTATGGTGACATGCAGATAATTGTAAATAGCTTCTTGGTCTGTTTGGTTGGAATTAAATTACATGCATGTACAGCAAAGAGATTGCCTGATATAACGTTACCGGAAGGGTTAAATCATTAATAATTTCTATACGACAATACACATCAGTATTATACTACAAATGTGTTATATGTTTATAATATTCAGTTCAGAATATCCTAATAATACATTATCTTTAATTTGATGGATGAAATCAAAGGTCATCTCGACGCGAAAGCGCAACGCAATGTACCTTTTTATAATCTATTTTCAAGCCAAATGCATTTTGTCTACAGCCACATACGGTTTATTAATCCCGTTATGAATATACCAAATACATCTTCCCTCGTGGGCGTATTAGTAATTGATTTATTGAAGAAAATGGGTTTTCTCAGGACAGGGACATTTGTAAAGAACACACACGCAAGCTAAGATACCAAGAGGCATTGAACGTTCTATACTCTGGTGAACATTTATCAACCTTACTTCAACACCTCTTGATGTAAATACGATGGCTTGTGCTTTATACATCTGACGAGACATGCTTACAGAAGCGTGTATGCTAACGATTTAACCTTACGGGACCATTCATTTTGCTGAACAGATGTACAGTCAAATACATTTCCTGATCTATGTGCTAAATGCATTTGCATTGCAGCATGAACAATAGTTATGAGAAAAAAGAAGTTAATGTACATCTATCAATATTTACAATCGAATAGTGATAATGATTTACAAGAAATTCCTAATGTATCAGCTAGAGCATTGTTTGTACACATACTGAGTGGAACGTATATACATACGATCAATGGTTTTCACGTAACGAACTATATCAACGAGATGCGAAGCGTGTTGAGGAAGGTGTTAATGTGTCTCCTCAACGCCTCACCCTAGGAACTACAGTCAATTACCTGAAGGGCGTGGCTCATCTTATGTGCGTTTCAGCTAGTAGCCATGGAGCATCAGAAGGGATTAACGTGGTATTGAGGGAATTATCCTTGTCTTCATCGATCAATTGGTGACACTTTTGCACACGTTTCACACTGGCTTTCTGATGAATTGGTATTGATAAAATTGAAATAAACATATGTGCATTTTCAACTGTGAGGCTGTCCTGATGCCTGACACTGGTATGCAAAGACACCTCCGCTACCTCCCGGGAGGCGGATATTAGTTGACTTAGCGGGAGTTTTCTCACGCTTTTTGTACGCATATATACCGATGAGAAACGGTACACCAATACGGACAAGAATTCCGAGTAATTGGATCACAGCACAGATCCCAGGTTATATATGGAGATTTCAAAGTGTCGCCGAGTTGATAAATTTCTGTCGATGGGGACAGGATTCCGTATGGTGCTGTTAATCCGGCGTTTTGTCTAAATGATTGGATTTGGCTTTACGAGAGTCTTGCAATGCTGATAAGAAGTGTGCTGGCTGCATTCAATTACGTCGGCAGGTGCCCGTAAAACAGCCCTGTCGCGTAGATATAACGGCTTGTCGTTTATAAATAACGCCTTGTCGCCCCCTCACTGAAACTATCAGATACTTTCAAGGGACTGACGGGCGCTTTTACGTCAAACACTTTTTAATCTTGGTGGATATTATGTGATGTGATGATCTACTGGGTATGCTCACGGTCTGATGGTTTCCGTGTCTGACATAGGCAGTTTATAACGGCACACCGCTATCACCGAGCGGCGACAGCACCGATCAATTGGATTGTGGTTGCAGTTCATCTGCCTCTAATTGGACTCCGCGTACTTCATTCAGTGGTGCGGGATCATGTTGGTATGTCTGGCCCCCCTTCTGCACAGATGCTGAATATACCTTCTTATGTGTATGTACTATAAGCCTTCCAGCATAACACAGCTATTGCTGGCAATTTGTCATGACTTGAACAACTGTGATATGTGAGTGTCGTGATTTTGAAATGACATAATATTCGCATGTTTGGAAGACACCACGTTTCGACAAATACTTTGGACGTTTTGGATCGAGTACACTGCTATATAACATCCGGAACTGATTGACGTTAAAGGTCGGAGGTGGTATAACCTGACGTCATTGATACTCATGTGACACTATGAGGAATGTCACTCAATATATCTACCGGAACATCACAAGGCACAAGGAAGTATTTCTAGACCTTTGACTTTGCAATATGGAAGCTTGAAGCATCACTGAAGGTTCATTACATTCTTTGTGATAGCCTAAACTATTCATCATATAAAAATACAGTGCTTTGATATGGGAATATGAATGCACTGTGACGCTTTTCGCCAGGGGTGTATTACCTTATGTATAGGACCTAGAAGGTAAAAAGGTCGCAGAGTATAGACACTGTTTCCTGATCAATACATTGCATGATACCTCTGAAAGGTTTCTCGTAGTCTATACTGAACCATACGTCCTGAAGCCGATTAGGTCTCAATGGTTCGAGACATTAACATGCTACTTTGCCAGCAATGCGCAATAGATTACGAGTCAATAACTGTGTGTCAACGAGCTGGAAACAAGCCTTGCTTCTGAGCTACAAGAACAATTATTAGTGGGCTCATATTGATAAATTATCGAGCGTAATAACGTCCTGTTTATGTATGCTTTGGTTTTGATGAAGTATAACAAGCTTGTAGGGTCGGGATATTGCATTTACTATTGGGTGGTGTTCGCATGCTTCCTGGTTGACCACGTGGTAATGAAGACGTATGCCACATACGCGGTACCACTATAGCATTCCACGAGCCAATACTGGAAGAAGGGTTGTCTTATGGTTACTGCAGGACGGGATCCTTTGTTAAATCACCTTTCATCTTTGGAGCTATGTCAATTGTCTTGGTGGACGTTGGGATTATTAATCACTTAGAATATGCTGATATTGCACTATCCTAGAGTTCACAGGCTAGAGGACATGGCGCTGTCTGCACTGCTCTTTCCATGCAAACTACTCGTCCACTGACGTATGTCTCACATTGTCTTCATCACTGGACATGGGACTAGTTATCCCTGACATAACATCGTAAATCTACATCTGGATTAAACAGTGTGTGAACATGTTGGGACGTGCTGGGACAATAGTTCGGAAGAACCGTAGACGTTCGTCAAGTAACTCAAGGAGTGGTACAAGGAGGGGGTCTGCCCCAGCGATCCATGACACGTCGGCCTCACCCTGTCCCTCCCCGTGTCCCTCACCCGTCCCCAGCCTCTCCGCGCTCCCTGGTAGCACGGGTAAAGTATTCCTGACACCCCAGCCTTCACCCTCCAAGAGTGTTTCGTTCTGCCTAGAGATTCCCAATGTGTCGGGACTGAAGGTTCAGAGTTGCCACTTGCACAATAAGGTAAGAGTCACTCTCCACAGCATATGTCCTTTGATTGCTTGTTCAACCGGTTTTTGACGCATCATCTATCAACAGCGTAAGTGATAGTCGCATTTGTATTACAAAGGTGGTAATTAACGTATAGTTAACATAGTTAATGTATAGTACGTTTATAAATTGTGAATACAGTTTTTGCAAGTGTTACAATGGACAGACACTTTCAAATTACTCATATGCAGAAATAGATAAACATGTTCACTCTGAAATAATAAGGGCTGGTTGAACTTTTAGTTCCTTTATATGATTTATTCTCACATAAAAGAACGCGCAGGGTTTTTAATCATTGTTTTCGGATAAAAAAAATGTTTTGTATTGACTAATACAATATATTATCCTATGGCAATCAGTTTAAGTCCCTAATTGGCAAACATGACTACAAGGCAACTTTCTTCTTGCAGGCATAATTGTCTTGAAATGTCAGTGAACGACGTATGCAGTTACGCTTCAAATAGAATGTATCGTTCTTGTATTGATATTGCTTGACTACGTTAGAAACAACTCATACAAATATAACCTTTGATATTTCTGCGGAAAGATGTTCCGGAATCAAAAAGGAACATATGTAGCAATTATATGGAATACATTTCCTCACACCGGTTAAAAGATAAAATGCGTTGGCAATTAAACCTGAATATAAAGAGTTCTGACATTGTTTCGAATGCCCATTCCATGAATAGCATACACCAAGTACATGTACCTTGCTGCCTATCGACGTCAGTACTGTATTACCGACCAACAGACATAATATAAGTATCTAGCTACTTATATTCAACCCCCATCGTCTGAAAGTGTTAAGACTGCATCGTGTATGACAACTCGTTGTACATTGTGCAGCTGTCGAGATCAATAGATTTTAGCATGACATTCAGATAACGTCGTTTTTTTTCTCAGTGTCTTGCATTCGTCTCCGTGTAACATGTCCATGGTTTATCACTACAGTTTCTTTAGCAATCGAAATGTGTATATATAGAAGATTCGCATTCATGTGTCTGTGGTGTGAAAGATAAAGGCAATTAATTCTTAGATACAACGATCTCAAACGCACCCTAGACATCAGTTCGGTACACTCGAAAACCTTATTCAATAATGTTGAGTTGATTATTACTCCATATGGATTACACTTCAGCTCGTTATAACATTTGGATATATAGCTGTTCTTGTAAAATAGCATTACAAATCTGACAAAGTTGATATTTTGAGTGGACATTAGACAAAGAAATGACAATTCAAATGTTGTGTATTTTCTAATTGATATTAACAATCTCTGAGAAAGCAAGATGCCATGGGGTTGACAGAACGCTGCTCGACGGAAGTGTTATTTTACTCGATTGTGACATTTGGAGATACATATCTTTTGGTATTTAACCACAAAATGCATTAAAAATATTCGATTATTGAATGACCGCCTCCGTGGTCTAGAGCGTCAGCCCGGAGAGCGGAAGGTCGTTGGGTCGATCCCCGGCCGAGTCACACCAAAAGACGTTAAAATGTGGCACTTCTTATCTGGCGCCTGGCATTAAGGGGCTAAAACAAGGACTGGTCGGTTCGGAGTCAGTATGCTGAGTCTGAGTGGGGTATTCATGTTGAACTACAGCATGGTATGTCAATGAGGTAGCACTATAAATTGGCATCAGTCCGGACTACTAGAAGCCGCCACATACACACACATAAATGCACGTCGCTATATAAGTGCAATCATCTTGAAGGCGACGATAAACCCCATTTCACCTCACCTCACCTCACCTCACCTCACCTCACCTCACCTCACCTCGTCTCACCTCACCTCACCTCACCTCACCTCACCTCACCTCACCTCGTTTCTTATCTTCCCGATCTCCGAGTTAACTGTACGTATTCTGCGCATGTGCAATAGCTCGATTGTGTACGGAAACGCATAGTATCTAACAGATACATATAGACTATTAATACATACACTGTAGTGTATGACTTTACGCCGCGTGTAGCCGTATCCCAGCAATACATTGTAGACTGATAGACAAATGCATATCTTAGATGCACTGTGAGATATCAGTGGAGTATAGCTATACATCACGAGCTGAGTAGTATGATTAAAGATAAACAATTCGATCTATGTCTATTGCCCTGCGTTGAAAGTCGTCTAATTTATTACTGTATCGCGAGACACAGACAGTGATGATCACTTTAGTAGTAGTCTGTAATGCGATTAGAAGCTGGGTATCGAGTAGAAATCTTGATGCACTTTATCCCCTTCGTGAACTCAGACATTCTCCTCCTTAAATCGGAAGATCGATAAGTGTCATTTGTCAATAATCGATTACTTCAGCTTTTAGTTTCATCAATATTAATCACGTCAATTCAGATGGTTCTTGCAAATACCTGAAAGTGCAGTTGAGTAATAGAGTCCATATCTGTCACCCCAATGCCATTTATATCTCCTCTTTTGCAAATTGAGTTAGTGGTTCTGTGTTTAATCCCTTGATGCATTGGACATGACACCAATATAGAATGCCCCCTAACCTGCATATCAAAGCCAAGTTCTCCCTTATTGACGTGGCTCGAAGCCAAATGTTGTGACAGGCAATATGTCTCTCTGTCCCAACTTAACGCTTTTCTGTTGACCACTGTCGGTGTCCATGTTTAATGCAGTGGAGAACACACACATTTGTGCCATTGACACACGCCTTCATAATTTGACGCACCAACATTTGATATGTGGGCACGAAATTCATGATTTTCTTTCGAATTTGAATCGTTTCTGTAGAAATGTGATGTAATATTTGCTTGCTGATATCTGGGATTGCTTTTGATATGGATTGATTTATTAAGTAGATTAGTCCGATTAAATAACACAAATTAACACCCATTGATTGTTTATTCATTGTTTATAAACACCCTTACCAATTGGGCGAAAACCAGATGTCATCACTGATTTTCAGTGATCCATTCACATAATATTCACCCCTTATTTTGCCTGTTACACCAAATGGAATCTGTTTCGGAGGATAATGGAGACTAGCTATTCCCTGTCGTTGACGTTGTATAGTCTTATATGCATTAACTTAAAAAAGAAGACATTATCATGACCCTTCGTAATTCCAATAAAACTCATTATAACTTGAAATTACATGTTGACAACACACATGACATATAGAGACTTATCAATCAACCGCTATTGTCAAGCTACATCATATTAAAATGTCAAACCGTCATCCCGACCTAACTAAGCGCATTCAATATATATCTCATTATGGTATTAAATCTATCGAAACCTAATTGTACCATGTGCTGATTGACGGCGTGGTTTGCGTGAGTCGGCCTTTTTCACAAATCTTGCAAGATGTCAATAAATCTACCTTCACCCGTGTACGTCCTTTTTTCTAACAAACAACACGAATCAATCCAGCTACCTTGAATTGTTCAACAACATTTCACTCAATCTTTGATCACAAAACTGCTGTTTATCGAGCAATGCAGTTTCAGTCGACATTGTGTCTTGCAGGACGACCCGGTAGTTGACTTTGACTGCAGGTAGGAAAGTGTTAACTTGGTATCGATTCTTTCCAGCTTATTCCGCTGCCTAGAAAACAAGAAATCAATTAATGGGACTAATTTCTCGTCCATTTGTCGTGTTGATGAGAAACCGCCGTCCATTTCACGATACTGTGCACAATGCACTTACCACCACTTCTTGCAGCTGGAGTGGCAGACAGTCAGGCCCAATCCCAACCTCGCCGACCACCCATCTCTCTGTGTGTTTAATGATGTGAATACTTTTTTTTGTTATATGGTGTTGGCAATATCAATCTTAAAGGTAATTTTAAAATCAAATCTCAGTGATGTTCGTTTATGTGACGAAACATATTGCACCAACAATAAGTACCTTTTTCATGTATAATCATTCCAGACGATGCTTGATAATATTTCACTTTTATCGATTATATAATTGGTACTTTGTTTTTGTAATTAGATTCTGGCACAAAAAGACAAAACATTGCCGAAAAAATAAGTTCTCCTCAAAGACATAATTATTCCAGACGATGTTTGATAATATTTCACTTATATCGATGATGTAATTGGTACTTTGGTTTGGTAATCAGATTCTGGCACAAGAAGACACTGTGCAGAACACATTCGTGGTATCCCGCAGTTCAGAATAGGTTTGTAATCAACTAAATCATATGTGAACCGACCTCATGTATCTCAGGAAATGTTCATTTTTTAGGTATTGTACAAAATATATGTCCCCCTTATTAAAGGTATTGGAGACGATGTTTGATCGTATTTCATTTCTATGGACGATGTATTGGAACTTTGTGTTGGTAATCAGATACTTGAACAAGAAGACGCTGTGCAGAACACAGTTGTGATATACTGCTGTTCCGAACGGTTTTGTAAATAGATTAAAAACGACAGTTTGGGATAAAGTGGAGGCATTGAGAAAGCATTTTCGAACTAATTACGACAATGAATTCGGAAATTAACAAATATGCGATCCTTGTTAATTTGATCGTACTCTCGCAACATAAACTAAATCTTATTTAAAATAATGTTTGATTCATCAAGTTAGGTCAAATTTGCAACGAACAAATTGCCCCGATGCAATATACGTCTACTCGCTACCTTCATGTACTATACAGTAAACTACGGTTATAACGAAGTCCAAGGGACCACTAATTTTATTTCGTTATAACCGTAGTTCGTAATAAGCTTATATACAGCATGCAGTAAACAACGGTTATAACGAACTTTAAGGAGCCACTTATTTTAGTTCGTAATAACCGTAGTTCGTTATAAGCTTATATACAGCATGCAGTAAACAACGGTTATAACGAACTTTCAGGAACCACTTATTTTAGTTCGTAATAACCGTAGTTCGTTATAAGCTTATATACAGCATGCAGTAAACAACGGTTATAACGAACTTTAAGGAGCCACTTATTTTAGTTCGTAATAAACGTAGTTCGTTATAAGGTTATATA